TTTGTATAAAACTTTTTAAGATTTTAAACTTTTTTTTCTATATGTATAGAAAAGATAGAAATTGCATTTTGTCAAAATATGCAGGAAGATATTGTCACTCTTTTTAAATTTAATTTAAACGTCAAGACAAAACATACAGTGAGCACCATAAGTCTTACCCCCCCCTATCTAACTCATTACTGGAGTCTTGTTAGGAAAATCGCCGAGACACGTCGATTTTTGTTTTGTACAATGTACATTTTTGTATGAATAGTTTACCCTTAATTTCATCCCTTACTGGAGGGGAGCAACCCTTTCGAAAAATTTAAATGGCATGGGGTGGTGAGTGATAGCTCATTTGAAAGAGAGTTTTATTCTCTATTCAACCGTGTAAAAAATTTTGAAATTTGCTTAATTAATTCTCGACTAATTGTTGTTTCAGAATAACGGAAATTAACGTAGCGCACTCATCCTTAGAATTAAAATTCGGCCCTGCATGATTTCGGTTTTGGTTCAGACGTGAAGTAAGACTTTTTGCCATTAGAAGGTCACTGTTAGTTTAGTTGCTTTCCTATTTTGTGAGGTTTAAACATTAATAAATCAACACGTAATGAAGCAAATTTCAAATTTTTTTTGCACGGTTGAATAGAGAATAAAACTCCCTTTCAAATGAGCTATCACTCACCACCCCATGCCATTTAAATTTTTCGAAAGGGTTGCTCCCCTCCAGTAAGGGATGAAATTAAGGGTAAACTAATTATACAAAAATGTACATTGTAGAAATCAAAAATCGACCTGTCTCGGCAATTTTCCTAACAAGACTCCAGTAATGAGTTAAATTAGGGGGGGGGGGGTAAGACTTATGGTGCTCACTGTATACTTAATACAGGGCGATAATTTAAAAAAAAAATATTTTCCCTATATCTCATGAACTAACGATCATAATATATCTGAAAATGCTTAAAACAGTTTCCAAAATAACGAGGGGTAACTTACTTGTAAATTACAAAATACATAACTCACCCCTATTAACCCCTATGCGCCATTTGTAGCAGCAAAAAAATCTTCACCTTCGCCACTTAATTTTGATTTTTTTTAGATTATAAATTTCTAGACGATTATAAAAATATATCATACCAATCATACCTTATAGTTTTTGTAAATATGATGCTGCCATGTTATTAAAATTTATGAAAAATCGGAACATTTCAAAATTATTCATAAACGCATTTATATACAAATTTGAAAACGAAACTTTGACTGAAGTTAGTTGAGACCCGAACTTACCTCGTCCATATTTCATAATTATTTCAATATATACAGGGTGTTTATAACATAAGATTATATTTTCGGAAATTTAAATATAAAAAAATTCGAGCTAAGCTGTCAAAACCTTTTTTTATAAAATCACAAAACATTGCGTTAATTATTTCTTCACTTACTATTTCTTCTAGCACATAAATTGTTGCTTTAAGGTTGATTCATTACAACAAAAACCATACAGATGTGGAAAAAAATCATTTAATTCAAAATTATCATTAATCTAAGTTTTGAGGTAATTTTCAATTATATTTGAAAGTATAGAAACCAGCGAGAATGGCCGAAAATTATCAGGAATAATATCGCCACGTTTATGTATGCGAATTACCTTTGATGTTTTTAAAAATATACTTTGTTAGAGAATAAATGATTGTTTTTTGATTAATTTGATAAAATAAGAGTTATCTCAGTAAATTTGAAGATTTGAACATTTTTAAACGACAAATTTGCTGGACTATCCAAGATTTATATTCATCAGGAATGTTATCTATGATATATTGACCTAATATAAATTATTCTGGTAATGAATCATCGATGTCCTTGTGGTCGTTTTTTTTTTGTCTAATATTGACTATTCAAGATTAAATGAATAAATCAACTATAGTGTTTAATCGTTTAAATCTAAATTTACTAATAGGCTATTGACCCATAAATACACCTTGACTTTTAATTCAACAAGACTTTAGTCTGCGGACTGCTGTGAGGTTATCTATAATTAGATGTATAATGGATAGATAGCCAATTGTTTAATATACATACCCGGCTTATTTATTTATGCATTTGTGCTTGTATTGTTCCACTTAGTTTAAATAGATCTATTTATGCAATTAGAAACTATCTATAGTAATGTTGATTATTTAATATGTTTACCTTCTTTTATCAATGAGGTGTGGCTTGAAAAATAGTGTATTACTTTTTTTGCACAATTTTAACATCAATAATACTTCTCTACACCAATACATGCAAATTTTCGATTTGTAGTAACTCTGTTTATATATTTTTTTTGAAAGTATGATCATGGTATCTGCTTTTAATTTGACAACTCTACTGGCTCAATCTGATTCCTTTCAGGATTCATTTGATCTTGGGTATTAAAAAAGACCCATTTGTTGAGATCCGGTGATTAGAGTGGATATTCTAATATAGGGATCTAAATATTTGACCACACCTTACATTACACCCAAAAACAACGAGTTTTAATAATTAAAATACAGAGCAACGCCGAGATGCTAATTCTTATCAGTTACAAAGCTTGACTAACTATATTCCAATACCTAATTTTGCCAACATAGCAATATTCAAAGTTGATATAGCGACAACATCAAAGATCATCATATTTTTCTGACTTATAACTCGGAAAAATAGATTATTCCGACTTAGAACTCTAAAAAATATATTATTCTCGCCAAAAACTTGGAAAAATATATTTGTCCTTCTTGGAACTTGGAAAAGTCGATTTTTTTCTGACTAAGAATTCGGAAAAATCGATTTTTTTGATTAAAAACACGTAAAAATTGATTATTTCTGACTAACAATTCGAAATAATCGATTTCTGATTTAAAACTCGGAAAAATAGATTATTCCGACTTAAAACTTAGAAAACTTGATTTGTCCGATCTAGAACTTGGAAAAATCGATTTTTCTAACTAAAAATTCGGAAAAATCGATTTTTCGGACTAACAATTTGGAGTAATCGATTTTTCGGATTTTGAACTCGGAAAAAAAGATTATTCCGACTTAAAACTTGAAAAAATCGATTTGATCGACCTAGAACTTGGAAAAATCGATTTTTTTATTACTAAAAATTCGGAAAAATCGATCTTTTTGATTTAGAACTCGGAAAAATAGATTATTCAGACCTAAAACTGGGAAAAATCGATTTGGCCGATCTAAAACTCGGAAAAATCGATTTGTCCGACTTCGAACTTGGAAAAATCGATTTTTTTTACTAAGAATTTGGAAAATATATTATTCCTACCTATAGCTGGAAAAAATCGGTTTATCTGAGTTAGAACATAAAAAAATCGATTTTGTTCTGACTAAGAATTCGAAAAAAATCGATTTTTCTGACTTCTAACTCGGAAAAATAGATTATTCTGACATAAAACTCGGAAAAATCGATTTTTCTAACTTAGAACTAGGAAAAATTGATAATTCCGGCTTAAAATTCGGTAAATTTAATGTTTCTGGCCTAGAACTCTAAAAAATATATTATTTTCACCTAAAACTCGGAAAAATCTATTTGTCCTACTTAGAACTTTGAAAAATCGATCTTTTTCTTACTAAGAATTCGGAAAAATCATTTTTTTTTAACTTTTATTTCTACTTAAATATCGAAAAACTCGGTTTGTCTGACTTAGATCTCGGGAAAATCGATTTTTTTCCTCACTAAGAATTCGGAAAAATCGATTTTTCTGACATAACTCGTAAAAGTAGATTATTCCGACCTAGAACTCGTGAAAAATCGATTTTTTTTAACTTAAAACTCGAAAAAGTAGGTTAGTCCGGCTTAGAATTCGGAAAAATCGATTTTCCTAGCTTAGAAATCGGATAAATATATTTTTCAGGCTTAGAACTCGAAACAATAGATAACTCCAGCTTAGAATTCGGAAAATTTAATTTTTCTGGCTTAGAACCTTAAAAAATATATTATTATCTAAAAATCGAAGAAATCGATTTGTCCGTCTTAAAACTTGGAAATATCGATTTTTTTCTTACTAAGAATTCGGAAAAAATCGATTTTTTTTACTTAGAACTTGGAAAAATCGATTTTTCCGACTTAGAACTTGTAAAAATCGATTTCTAAGTCTGAATAATCCATTTTTTTTTTTTTTTTTCGAAATCGAAGTCTAAAAAATAACGAGTTTTAATAATTAAAATAAAGAGCAACGCCGAGATGCTAATTCTATCAATTACAAAGCTAACTATATTCCAATACCTAATTTCGCCAACATTGCAATATTTAAAGTTGATATAGCGGCAACATCTATCAAATCTCATCATATTTTTAAAACAGTGCCTTACATTTCCTTACCTCTAAGAAAATATAACTCTTACAAGTGACACCCTAGGGCTCGGAAGCACTCGGGCGCCAGTTTATTAACGTGGTTTGCTCCACAACTCGGGCAGCTTCTAGTGGATGTGACGGAAAAACTCCAGATATCTCGTTGATATCAGACTATGAACATAAGGTAACAATAACGGACATGAATCGTTATTGTTACGTAAAAGTATTCGGAAGCTGAAAGAGAAAGAGGAAATTATAAGCTAGGATTCAAAATTAATACATATATTCCTTACGAAAACTATTGACAATGTGAGATTTTAATATGGTATTTCAAAGCCCACCTCCTTTATTAAAAATAAATCTTCATGTGGATTTGATGATGTATAGCCTGATTTTTAATGGAGTTCCACAAGGATCCATATTGGGCTCTGGGAAAGATTTACCCATACTATAGAAGTTATTTTAGTCCAAAAGACAATTAATAGATGCATTTCAAATGTATTGTTTGTTCATTCTTGTCGTCTTTTTTTAACTTAAAAATCTTTGTTGCGGATTAGCTCTTATTGTTTTTTAATATTTTTACTCTTTTCGATTTTTGTAATCGATTTATTGCCCTAAAATTTTTACTTTAAAAATATAACAATCCGAGAAAAATTTATTATAGTTCTTGAAATTTGTTCATTTTTTGTTTGCAGGCGACTCGCCTAGAAACGGAGACATGCAAGAAATTGAAATGGAAGAGGAGGAAGAAGAAGCGCCCGTCGTCCATTTGGAGTTCTTCGACGAGACCCTTCAAATACACGTCCTGAAATCCCTCAACATGATGAGAAAAAACCGGCACTTCTGTGACGTTATTCTTCACGTATGTGCCTGACTGTGCCAAACAGCATATTTTACAAGTTTCAAATAATCACCGCATGATTATCACACAGTCATAAATAAGTATCGGCAAACGTGCGACAATATGTCACATTTACTGAAGGTCAAACGTCAAAAATATTTGTCAAAAGTCAAAATGTATACGTCCCATGTCAAATATGTATGTCTTACGTCTAAAATAGTTGTCAGAAGTCAAAATATGTACGTCATATGTCAAAAATTTACGTCAAACGTCGACAAAATCATTCCAGTCGCATTGTTGTCTTAAATTGTTGTATATTTGACATTATTTAAACCTTGTAGTGATCGTGATTATTTGAAACTGTAAATATTGTTATTGTAAACAGTCAGTTGACACTACTGGACATCTCTAAAATCCCATCAATTTTGAAATTAATTTGACCAGTAGTGAGTAGTTTTTAAAGTAAATAAAACTCGTAGTAGGGTAGTCGATTAACTCAGATATCTCGTTTTTGATTGCATGAAAAAACTAAGCCTAGTTGCAGTTTATAATCCCCAAAAAGCAACGCAAGCAATGATATGATAGGTAAACAAAAATTTTTCTCCATACTGTTTTTTTTTAAATCCAAAGACAAAAATCGTTTTTTGTAATCTTTTCTGTTTTAGAACGATCTATGATTATTAGGTGACGGTAATTTTTTATTTTTTTTTTTTTTTATAAATATTTATGATTTTTGAATAGATATCTCTCGTTCATTTTCATTTCACCTTTTCCTAAGTTACGACGGTTTTGTTGTTACATTGTTGTTATTTGGTTTAGGTTGGCAACACTGAAGTACACGCTCACAGATCGGTGTTGGCAAGCGTGTCTCCATATTTATTCGAACTCTTCACTACCGATGAGGACCAAAAAAGGGCAGAAAATGTGATCAATTACAAGCTGAACGGTGGTTTCGACCCCATAGCCTTCCAAATTTTGATTGACTATGCCTATACAGCAAAGTTGCAGGTCCATTACAGTAATGTAAGTTTCTAAATAATAAATTGAACTACTGATGAACGCTGAAGGCTTTTTTACATGATACCTACCAACTAATCTGTTTATGGTTAAGTTGTAAGTCGATATTTTTGTTTTCTGCCAGTAATTCTCAATTTCTTTAAAAAAATAATTGTTTATATTATCATGTAAACTGCCTTTGAACAGTAAAACAACGACACTATTTACATTATTTGTGGGTTAATTGCAGGTTAAAGCAGTTTTCTCTGCCGCAAACAACCTCAAAATGGAAAGAGTTACTAGAATATGCGCCCAACATCTCATCAAACATCTTTCTGTAGACAATTGCGTCGAAATCAGATCTCTACCAGGAATAGCCAAGAATAAAGAATTCATCCAGCAAGTGGACGCGTTTATAATGACAGAGGTAATTGCTGAAAGTCTCTATGATTTTGAAGGATATAAATACGTACTAAATGTCTTAATTTAATAATTTTCCCCGAAACTTTATATTACAGGATTTATTTCACTTTCCCAACATTTTCCATAGTTTTACCCAAAATTGCATCAAAATTCCTCAAAATTTCATTTATTTATATATTTTACTTTCCCGACATTTTCCATCGTTTTCCCAAAAACATATTTAATTTTTAAACTTTAATTCAACATGTACTAATAGCGTTTTTATTTTGGTTCAAAAGTTTGCTAAAATTAGCAAAAACAGCAACGTGCTAAACCTGTTTTGCGCCAGGATAGAGGTCCTAAATCAATCCAGAGAAGAGATGTCCTTGGTGAACGAAAACTCCCTCTGCAGACTGGTTCTCGAATGGATCAAACGGCAAGTCGCTGAAGATAATTTACATATATCCGATCTCTCCGAGAAAACTTTCATGTTGTACCTTGCCATAGATAATTCCCTACAAGACTGTTCCCGAGTTCCTTCGGGCGATATTAGTGATACAGAGATCGTGCAGGATTATAAGAAATTGTCGTTGAAAGATAAACAAGGGGCTACCAAAAACAAAAAGAAGGTATGGTTTTGTATTTTCAATTTACATGAGTTGTAGGTAAACCATATAAATGTAGAGGAGATTTTGCGTGTTTGTTTCACAGCTTTATTTTTGTTTTATCTTTTGTGTTGTGAAATAGTACGTATTTTCACCAAGATGAACTATTTCTGTTAGATTAGTAAGTATTTAAGAACGCCTATTAGATCCACAAAAAATTGAGATCACAACTATGCTGGTCCCAAACTAAAATGGTGTCCGATAACAGACCGCATGACTCCATTTTTATCACACTTTCGCAATATTTTCATAGTTTTTCCCGAAAATTACAAATATCACTTACCTGATATATTTTCCAATGTTTTTCCAGAAACGACATTCTCTATGTGTATAAATATAAATTTTTATTTATTATCTATGGATTTCATACTGGTATTTTGTCAAAACATAATTGGGTATCAAACTTTACGGCGAAAACTGGTATTCTAAGGTAATTTTTTTTATAACTGATTTGTTTTGACGTATTAGGTGCTAGGCCAACCTACGAAACCTCGGGTGCTCATTTACAACAGAGACATCGGCGAGGAATTCGAAAGCGAACTGGAACCTGATTGGAACCTCATCGCCACCGAACCAATCGGAGATCACAGCTTTTTGGCTCTAGTCACGTTAGCGGGAAAATTGTCGACGTTGTCGATACAATTAAGGTGCGATTTTGAGTTGGTTGTAATTAAAGTTTAATTGTTTTTTGCGGAATGTTAAAAGTTGTATTGTTTTTAGATTAAATACGCCTTCAACTCCGTCTCCCGTCCAAACGCCCGACGCAAGCAGATCAGCTAGTGAAGACAAACCCGATCTGTATTGCGCTGTTGCCAGTATGTCGTGTCATCGATGCGCTCTTGGATGTGGAAATTATAATAATACTCTTATTGTTTGCGGTAAGTAACATGTTGCGATATCGAAATAATGTTAAAAAATGCATGAATAATTAATTTTAATAAGAGGATTTCACCAGGGATCAATATTGAGCCCCCTTATTTTTGTAGTCGATATGATCTTATAAGATGTTTTCTTGTCTAAGAAAATAATCCTTCGGCGAGGAAATTACTCTGGTGGTTCCCTTCACAACCTTTTAATACGGCGTAAAAAATACCTGATGGAGATACGAAAATTACAAGAATGATTTTTCCGACTTAGAACACATTTTAATCGATTATTTCTATCTAACAATTCGGAATAATCGATTTTTCTGATTTAGAACTTGGAAAAATAGATTATTCCGACTTAAAACTTGGAAAAATCGATTTGTCCGAACTAGAACTTGGAAAAATCGATTTTTTCTGACTAAAAATTAAAAAAATCGATTTTTCTGACTTATAACTTAGAAAAATAGATTACTCTGGCGTAGAATTCGGAAAAATCGATTTTTCTGCCTTATAATTCGGAAAAATATATTATTCCGACCTAAAACTCGGAAAAATCGATATGTCTGACTTCGAACTTGGAAAAATCGATTTTTTTTACTAAGAATTCGGAAAATATATTATTCCTATCTAAAGCTGGAAAAATAAAGTTAGAACATAAAAAAATCCAATTAGTTTTGATTAAGAATTCGGAAAAATAGATTATTCTGACATAGAACTCGGAATAATCGATTTTTCTAACTTAGAACTTGAAAAAATAGATACCTCCGGCTTAGAATTCGGAAAATTTAATATTTTTGTCTTAAAACTCTAAAAAAATATTTTAATCTCACCTAAAACTCGGAAAAATCGGTTTGTCAGAATTAAAACTTGGAAATATCGATTTTTTCTTACTAAGAATTCGGAAAAATCGATTTTTTTTGATTTAGAACTGGAAAAAATCGATTTTTCTCACTTCTTAAGTCTGAATAATCTATTTTTTTTTGTTTTCGAAATCTAAATCTAAAAAATCAATATTTTAAAGCCCATTCCGGTGAAACACTGTACAAAATAAATAAAATATTTGATCTAAAAAAGAAGATGATTCGTAGGTTTAACATTTTTCGAATCAAATATTCTGTGTTTGCAAAATCAAATAAATTATCAAAAGATATTGAAAAATAGCTTTATTAGAATATACCAAACATTTTCTATGTAATGGCGACGAAACATTTGTAGTTCGAATTAAAAAAAGATTTGAATTTACATTTAGTTTAATTAATTTTATTACTCAATATTTTGTTGTTTTATTGATGACGCCTCTATTTTCTAGGAGGTTATGACAGGACTGAATGCCTACGATCCGTTGAACAATACATTCCAGAAACCAATACTTGGAAAATTCTACCGCCCATGCGAGAAAATCGCGGTAGATTCAAAATAGCAGTCCTCAATGAAAAAGTTTATGCTATAGGTAATAACACATTTAATATCGTATTTGTTCTTGTAATTAATTATCTTGTAATTAATTATCTTGTAATTAATTATCTTGTAATTAATTATCTTGTAATTAATTATCTTGTAATTAATTATCTTGTAATTAATTATCTTGTAATTCATTATCTTGTAATTAATTATCTTACAATTAATTATTTTGTAACCAATAATTAGTTATCTTGAAGTTAAATATTTTGTAATTATTAATTTACAGGTGGTAGTAACGGTACTACAGAGCTGGACTCTGTTGAGATGCTTGACTTCGGGATTGGCAAGTGGGTGAAAATGCCTAAAATGCCTTTAGCACGCAGTAACATGGGCGTGTGTACTTTGAACGACAGCATTTACTGCATCGGTGGTTGGAACGGGCAAGTAGGGATCAAACAATGCCACGTTTTTAGTCCAGAGGGCGGAATTTGGACGTCTATCGCTCCTTTGAATATAGGTAAAGTTATATTTACAGTTATCTATACAGTCATTTTTACAGTTATCTATACAGTTATAATAAATCTTCACAAATCAGGGTATTATACAGATTTTACAGTTAGTTAACTTTTAGTTATCTTTGTCTTTACAGTTATATTTACAGTTTTGTGAATTCAGTTACCTGTTATTTATGCATATCGGATTTATATTTGAATTTTGAAATCCACGCTACACCAATTATTACTCTAATAACCTCTCATATATGACGCTGTAATATTACCTTATATGAAGGTTTTAATGGTATCTATATATAGCTGTTCCTTCAAATTAATAATTCTAATTGCATTTAATATTTTCCATAGTCTTCCCAAACAATGCTATAATTTTTCATATCCTCCTTTGCTCGTTTCCATTATTTTCCATAGTTTTTCCGAACAATGCATTAATTTTTCATATCATCCGATGCTCGTTTCCAATATTGCCTTACTTTTTCCAAACAATGCATTCATTTTTCATATGCTTGGATCCCTGCTTCTAATATTTTTCATAGTTTTCTCAAACAATCTATTAATATTTCATGTACTATTCTCGTTTCCACTATATTTCATGATTTTCCAGAACAATGCATTAATTTTCTAATATTTGCAAGCACCTGTATGTGCTAAAGACAAAGTAATATTAGCTTATACGCATATTTATACATATGCATACATTTATACATTAATTTGAATAACAGTAACAAGAGTACAAAGCTGTATATGGTATTTTAATAAGATTAACATAAAAATTTAAAAATATCCTAGTCACATTAAAAACTGCAAAATATAACAACATATTTAAAATTACGCAACACATAAAATATATTAGGTATCTAAAGCATTGGAGATGATTTTGACACACGGCAGAAGACAACAGTTATAATATCCTTCGATATAATATGTTTTTCATAGTTTTCCCAAATAATGCATTAATTTTTCATATCCTCATATGTTCGTTTCCAATATTTTCCATAGTTTTCCCGAACAATGCAGCAATTTTTCATATCTTCCGATACTAGTTTCCTATAATTTCCATAGTTTTCCTGAACAATGCATTCATTTTTCATATGATTCGTTCCTTGCTTCTAATATTTTTCATAGTTTTCCCAAACAATGCTTAAATTTTTTATATCCTCTTCTAATATTTCAATATTTTCCATAGTTTTCGCGAACAATGCATTTATTTTTCATACGCTTCAATCCTTGCTTTCTTATTTTTGCCACAGAAATCTTTTTTATCTAAACTCTTTTGTTATAGTGATCAGTACGGAGGAAAATCCATTCGTTTTCCATTATATTCTGAGGAAATTATAAAACGTCTACACCATTTAAAGAATTCCTGCTGGACTTTTTTAATATTAAATTTTAATTCAATTAACAAGACTTTCTCTTTACAGTTATCTTTATCTTTACAGTTAATTTTAGCGTTGTAGTTATCTTTATATTTTTATTATAACAGTTAACTTTATAATTATCATTACAGTTTTATCTTCACAGTTTCTTATTAAACAGTTTTGCAAAATTTTCTTCGTAGGCCGTTATCAAGCAGGCGTCACGTCTTATAACAATTTGATTTACGCGATAGGCGGTTCAGACGCTTGGAACTGTCTGTCATCCGTCGAAATTTATAATCCAGAGGGCAACACTTGGCAACAATCCAAACCGATTATCACGGCTAGAAGGGGTTGCGCTTTGGCAGTTTTTAATAACAGACTTTACGTTATTGGAGGTAATTACAATGTCGGTGTAATAAATGGTTTTGCATTAACTTTGAGTTATTCATTTTTTAGGATCTGATGGGCAACATTCTTTGAGTTCTACAGAAGTTTTCGATGAGGAGACTCAGACTTGGACTTTCGGACCTTCTATGACCACGCCGAGAGCTAATATGGAAGTTGCTGTCGTTGGAGACAGATTGTACGCCGTAGGAGGTTTCTCGGGTTAGTAAAATTTTAGTTTTGTATTGAATAATGCGTTGCGGTGTTGCCAAATCTACTCAACAAATTTCCCCAGATATGGGGGAAAATCGAAAAAATGGCCATTACAATTTTGTTTTACTAATAAAATTGTATTTTTTTCCACCAATTTGTTCTTTTTAAATGTTTATTGAATTTAAGTCGGTATTTTTATTTTCAATTTGTTCGAAGTCTTTATTCGTCTGTTCTATTGCGATTCTACCATAGTTTATTACATATGTGTAACATTCTGCTATTATTAAATTAGCCTCATTTTTTTTATATCTACTCTATTTTTTCTATTAAATGTTTCAAAGTGAGTATATTTATAGGCAAAACATTCCTAAACACCATTGAATATTTGGACTTGAAGTCCAACGAATGGACGACGTTCGTGCCCAAAGGTACCTGCGAAATGTTGACCAGGCGAAAACCCAGAAGCCGCAAGAATTCCAGGAAAAGCATGTCTGAAGATAAAAAGGTCTTGAATTCGACCAGTACACCCAGCGATATTAAGGAAAATTTCATTATGTCTGATGAAAATTCGTCGACGGAAAAGGACGTTACGGATAATTCGTAAAAAAGTACACTAGTTTACGATAATGTTAAAGAAAAATCAGTTTTAACTGTAAATCTTCAGTTCGGGTAGGTGTTTTCGTTTGATTTTTTTTATTATCAGGAAACGTTTATTGGTATATTTTACTTTCCCGATATTTTCTATAGTTTTCCCCAAAACTGCATTAAAACTAATTTAAAAAATAAAATATTTTACTTCAGAATAAAAAATGTTTATACCAAAAATCGAACGAAACACCTTCATCTTTAGATATTTTTCCGTTTGCTGTAAACTAGTGAAATTTAGACAATGTATCTTAAATATCCTAAAAATAATAATCGATATACATCTGATAGGTATAAATATATCTAATCCCAGAAAATAAGTATTATATTCATGTTGTACTGAAAAAGAACTCAGCTTCATCGACATTGTTTTTTATTTTCGCGGCTTTTGAAACAATTGAATTCCATTACGTACTAGTCATGGATATCGGGAAAATACATTTATAATATTTCAATTATTATGAAATCTATACCACAATTATTAGGTTTGTCCCAGCAGATGTTTCAAACACGATTTAAAATTACCAAGAATGCGCTGGAAAAAAATTGGACATCTATTTTTAAAATGTTCTAGAAATCTAGAAACTGTTTAGAACTTACTGTTAGAACAAAACTACTATTCTAATAACAGTTCTTTTATTCCTCTTATGGTAGATATAGTAGATTTTGTTACCTTAAATTAAGGTTTTAATGGTTTTTAAATATGGCTGCTCCCATTAACATAAGCGTACTTCCAACATTTTTCATAATTTTCCTGAACAATGCATTAATTTTTTGCTTCCAATATTTTCTATAGTTTTTCCGAAAAATGTATAATTTTTTTTCTTATTATAATGTTCTCTTTTTTCATTATATTCTGAGGTAAATCATAAAACTTCCAACTACAACATTAGAAAATTCCAGAATCATTTTCATACTGGAATTTTTATAGAATATATAATTTTAATTCAATTAACAAGACTTTCTCTAATGTCCATTTTCTCAAAACAATACATATCTTCAGATAGACGTAAAATGAGAATTCAAGTGTCTTGGAAGATTTTTTGTATGTTTCCAACTAAGTTATCTTCTGTATTCGTCATTCTAATAGTAATATAATTAAATTATAGTAACGAAGCCGCTTGTCGTCCGAAATTACCAGAAATATATGTCTTAAAAGCTCTAAGTCAGCATTTTTAAAGTTCTCTACATTTTACGCACTTTAACATGAAATGACGAGCACTTAAGGTCAAAAACCTCGTTCTACATAATTCTTAACATCTACAAACGTATAAGGCAACATTTAAAACACGTTAAGACAAAAGTACAATTAGAGGTCAAAATCGTCAATCTATAAAATTCTTTAGGTCAGACCTAAAAAACCTCGTTCCTTAAATCTACAAATGTGTGTCAGGAGACAACAATCTCGTTTCATGCTTTAAAAAACAAATACAAATCTAAAACAATTAAAATTCTTTCCATATACTTTAAGACAAAAAATGAGCACCTAAGGTCAAAATATCGTTCTGACGTAATTCTACAACGAATCAGATCTAAAAACTATGTTTCTTAAACCATTTAAAGCCTGCAAATTTGCGCCATAAGGCAAAAATCTCCTTTCATGCGTTTGTTTATAATTTTTTACAATAAAAAAAAATACAAACGAATTAACACTTAAATCTATGTTAATACAAGAGAGCAAGTACTGGATATCAAAAATCTCATTCTATATAATTATCGACGTCTATAAACAAATCAGACCTAGTATTTCGAAAGCTAAATTCTCGTTTCATGCTTCTGTTTAAATTTTTTCCTAACAAATACAAAATCCAAACATATAAAACAAAATCTAGAACTGGTTCCATACACTTTAATACAAAAGAACGAGCACCGAAGGTCAAAAATCTCGTTCTATATAATTATCGACGTCTACAAACAAATCAGACCTGAAAACCTCGTTTCTTAAATTTGTAAATGTGTATAAGGAGCCAACATAACATCTAGAGCTCGTTCCATACACTTTAATACAAAAGAATGCGCTCCGAAGGTCAAAAATCTCGTTCTATATCATTCTTGACGTCTATAAACAAATCGGACATAAAAAAAACCTCGTTCCTTAAATTTGCAAATTGTGTCAAAAGCTAATTTTCTCGTTTTATGCTTCCGTTTAAAATTTTTCGTAACAAAAAGAAAATCCAAACATTTAGAAACTCGTTCCATACACTTTAATACAAAAGAACGAGCGCTGAAGGTCAAAAATCTCGTTCTATATCATTCTTGATGTCTACAAACGAATTGGACATCAAAACCTCGTTCCTTAAATTTGAAAATGTGTGTTAAAAGCAAATTTTCTCATTACATGCTTTTGTTTAAAACTTTTCGTAACAAAAACAAAATCCAAACGTATAAAACAACATTTAGAACTTGTTCCATACACTTTAATACAAAAGAACGAGCGCCGAAGGTCAAAAATCTCGTTCTATATCATTCTTGGTGTCTACAAACTAATTGGACATCAAAACCTTGTTCCTTAAATTTGAAAATATGTGTCAAAAGCAAATTTTCTCATTACATGCTTTTGTTTAAAACTTTTCGTAACAAAAACAAAATCCAAACGTATAAAACTATTTAGAACTTGTTCTATACACTTTAATACAAAAGAACGAGCACCGAAGGTCAAAAATCTTGTTCTATATTATTCTTGACGTCTACAAATGAATCGGACATAAAAACCTCGTTCTTTAAATATGTAAATGTGTGTTTAAAGCCAACTTTCTCATTTCATGCTTCTGTTTAAAACTTTTTGTAACAAAAATAAAATTCAAATGTATAAAACAACATCTAAAACTTGTTCCATACACTTTAAAACAAAAGAACGAGCATCAAAGGTCAAAAATCTCGTTCTATATAATTATTGACGTCTACAAACCATTCAGACCCAAAAACCTCGTTCTTTAAGTTTGCAAATGTGTGTTAGGAGACAACATTCTCGTTTCATGTTTCTAGGTTTAAAACAAAAACAAAATTCAAACGTATAAAACAACATCTAAAACCTGTTCCATATACTTTAATATAAAAGAACGAGCACCAAAGGTTAAAAATATCGTTCTAATATATTTCTTGACTTCTACAAACGAATCGAACATAAAAACTTTGTTCCTCAAATTTGCAAATGTGTGTTGGGAGCCAACATAACATCTAGAATGTGTTCCTTACACTTTAATACAAAAGAACAAACACCGAAGGTCAAAAATCTCGTTCTATATAATTCTTGACGTCTACAAATGATTCAGACCTAAAAATCTCGTTCTTTAAGTTTGCAAATGTGTGTTAGGAGCCAACATTCTCGTTTCATGCTTCGGTGTAAAACTTTTCGTTACAAAAAGAAAATCCAAACGTATAAAACAATATCTAGAACTCGTTCCAAATACTTTGATACAAGAGAACGAGCACTTAAGGTCAAAAATCTCGTTCTATATCTTTCTTGCCGTTTGCAAATGTGTGTTAGGAGCCAACATTCTCGTTTCGTGCTTCTGTTTAAAACTTTTCGTTACAAAAAGAAAATCCAAACGTATAAAACAATATCTAGAACTCGTTCCAAATACTTTGATACAAGAGAACGAGCACTTAGGGTCAAAAATCTCGCTCTATATCTTTCTTGCCGTTTGCAAATGTGTGTTAGGAGCCAACATTCTCGTTTCATGCTTCTGTTTAAAACTTTTCGTAACAAAAACAAAATCCAAACGTATAAAACAATATCTAGAACTCGTTCCAAATACTCTGATACAAGAGAATGAGCACCTAAGGTCAAAAATCTCGTTCTATATCTTTCTTGCCGTCTACAAACAAATCGGAGCTACAAACCTCGTTCCTTGGATTTTAAAATTTGCGTCAGGAGTCTACTATCTCCTTTCTTGCTTTTGTTCACAACTGGTTAACTTGAAAACAATGAACACCGGACGTCAAAAACCTCGTCATACATAATTATTGACGTCTACAAACGAGTTAGACCTAAAAACCTCGTTCCTCTGGCAAATGTGCGTCAGGAGTTAACAATCTCGTTCTATGTAAAAGAAAACTGACAAAAATTTAGCTAATTCCAGAACGGTTATTAATGGTACCATTGAACGACCAGCGGCTTCTACTTAGGTTAAGTATTAAAGTTGATAGTTTTCATTTGCTCATTATTATTGACTACGCCAGGAAGTGTATTTGTTATAATATGATTCACCACCATTAAATTGAATAGTTTATGAAATGCTGAAAAAGTATATAAAAAAAAAGATATATCTATATATTTTAAATACTCTTTTTTACTTGCAATACACACAATACAAATTTATATCGAAATAAATTTTGTAGTGATTAAATTGAATCGTTATAAGAAAAAAAAAACAAATATTTATATGATTGGAATCATTAAATTGTGGAAAAGTGAGTGTTGAATTAAAAATGATTTAATTTTGGATAAAAAAAAGACATTAGTTGTATCTGGTTATAGTTTTTCCAGGTTATGGCGACCAATTTTTTTTACGGAAACTCATTTTTTTGATTTATAAGAAATTAAAATTTACTAGATATTTATTGACTTATATTTGATTATTTTATTGTAAAATTTAGTAAGTTGAATTAAATTTATAAACGAATGTTCGTGTATTTAATCTAAGAATGCCCAAATTGATAAAGACTTGAAAAATTATATATTTAATAGATAATTAGACTATACAATATATTTTTTGGTCTTGTTAAATATTTTTTCTTATATCGAAAATGTGTAATGGACGTTCTAGTACCTACATACGTCAAAAATCTCGCTGAAAACGAAAAAATTATGTCTTGTAGACGTTGTAATAATTAAATTCTTTAAAAATATTAGTTTACAAGTGTTCTAATACCTATAACAAAATTTTAAGAGAAAACCAACTCAAATTTTTGGTTAAAACGTTTGATCAATTTGGGCGTTCTTAAAATTATTTACCA